ATAATAATAATAAAAATCTTTTAAAAAAATTGTAAGAGACAGGGAGAGAAGGGGTAAAGTAGACATGATAAAATCTTTGTATCCGAGCAATGGTACATGGGAGTTCATTATACTACTTTCCTTTTAGGGACATTTGAAATTTTCATCATGAAAAGGAGGTTTTAATGGACCCGTGGCCATCATTAGCTCTCGAATTCTCCTGATACCACCTGGGTCTAGATCCTTCAGGCTGACCTCCCTGAGCCACTCTTTCTAATCCTGTGTGCCTTTCCTCAAATGCTATTTTTATCATACTACTTTCTTGCTCAGAAACCACTAATATTCCCCTTTGGTCTCTCACGACAGACCCAAATTGCACTGCGCTATTTTCAGACGCACCCATGATTTGGGTCTAGCCTTCCCAGACAATCTGATTTCATAGTAAGTCTCCACAGAGGCCAGGCCAGACTCCTCTGGGCTCTACAAGTCCTCTTCATTTAGAAAGCCCTCTCCCTTCTTTTGCCTAGTCAGACCAGAGCTAGGCTTAAGCCCCACCTTTCCCATAAAAGTTTGACCAATTACTCCAAGCTTTACTAAATCTGTTTCTCTGAACTCGCAAAACATGTCTATCAAGGACCACATAATTTAACAATTGTGTGGAGTTGTTTGTTAAACATGTTATTTTTTGGATCCCTCCCCCACCCCAAAGAGATCATAAAGTTCTCACATTTAAAGTAGACCATGTTTTATACTTTGGTTTTGACCCCTCCACACTACCAAGTAGCACACTGCATGTTGTAGGCACCCAGTAAATATTTTATAATTGGCAGGAGGATCTCTGGGGCTTCAAAATAAGAAAATGGTTTCCAATTAGCTTCAAGTTATTGCCAGGACTCCATGTCTTCATTCCATCAATATTTATTGGGTTCTGACTATGCTGGGCTGTACTGTGTTCTTTGTCTAGGCACCAGAGATCCACCAGCTTCTAGCCTATGTTGTTGGCACTTTGCTCATAGTCCCCTCAAGACACTACAGGCCACTTGCATACAGTTCTCTTACAAGCAACTTCTTGCCTCTGTCTTAGGGTGTTCACTGGCCAAGGAAGCCTTCTCCAGAGTTGCAGAGGTTAGTGTTAGGGAGTTATTTCACCTAGACTGACCCTCAACCAATGAGGGATGGGATATGATGGACAAAAATGCCCCAGCTCCCAAGACATGCAGTGAGACAATTCTGAAGCATGCTCTAGACAGAGGGCTCCTCAAAGGATTGAGCGTCAGCTCCCCAAAGCAGCAACCCATTCATTAATTTACCCTTTTCTTGGCTTTTCTTCCCTACCCTGTTTCATTTCCCCACTGAGTTTGTTCCTCAGTGAGTTTGCTGGGATCGACTCGAAAGTAAACAACTTGCTCCAAATCCTTTTCCCAAGGTCTAATGAAAACGACAGTGATCAAGATAGCCAAGGTCTCTGCTCTTATGGAGCACACACTTCTGCATTCAAACTATTTAGACCTTCCTGCACCTGTGCATGCATCCATGGAGTTCTGTCAGGCGCTGACTCCCTGCTTTCGTGTGCAAGGCATCCACATTTTGGGTCACCAACCAGTACAGCTTTCCGAGTCTCTCCCAGTTGCTCAGAGCCCAATGTGCAGGGTTAGGCTGGAGGGAAGAGAACCGAGGCCAGCCTACAAAGTTTCTCGCCCAGTACCGCTGGCGGATTGGAGCACTCCGTAGAAAATCCCCATGCTGAATGGGTTTCTGGTCAGTGCGGGCGTAGAGTCCCACCTTTTCTGACCTGTAGTCTGGGATCCCCGACTCAGTGGAGATTCCTGCCCCAGTCATCACTAGGAGTCTCTTGGAAAGAGTGATGAAGCGCTGTAACTCTTTGACCTTCTCAGGGTCCAGAGGAGGACTTGGTGGCACAAATAACCGAATGGATCCACGTGACCACTGCCGGCTGATGTTCACCATCCAGTGGCCTTTTGCTGCCCTGAAAGTCAACCCAAAACTCATCCTCATTCTAGAGAGAAAGAAACCTGATGTGAGAAACCGGATTTTAAAAACTAAAGCAACCAGGGGCCACCTGGGTGGCTCAGTCGTTAAGCATCTGCCTTCGGCTCAGGTCACAGTCCCAGGGTCCTGGGATCAAGCCCCACATCGGGCTCCCTGCTCAGCGGGAAGCCTGCTTCTCCCTCTCCCACTCCCCCCTGCTTGTGTGTTCCCTCTCTCGCTGTGTCTCTCTCTGTGTCTCTGGCTCAGTCGCTTAAGCTTCTTGCCTTTGGCTCAGGTCATGATCTCAGGGTCCTGGGATCGAATCCCGTGTCAGGCTCCCTGCTCATAGGGGAGCTTGCTTCTCTCTCTGCCCCTCCCTCCTGCTCTGCTCTCTCTCAAATAAGTAAATAAAATCTTAAAAAAACAAAAAACAAAAAAAACTAAAGCAACCAAAAAAAACCCCCCAAAACAACAAAAAAACCCGAGGCAACCATCAACTGATGAATGGATAAACAAAATGGGACCTATCCATACAATGAAATGTTATTTACCTATAAGCATGAAGTGCTGATATAGGCTACAAAATAGATAAACATTGAAAACATTATGCTAAGTGTAAGAATTCAGTCACAAAAGGACAAATACTATATGACTCCACTTACATAAATTGTCCAAAATACACAAATATATAGAGACAAAGTAAATTAGTAGTTGCCAGAGACTGGAAAGTAGAATGTATCAAAACATTATTCTTTCTTTTTTTTTTAAGTCTTTCCCTTTAGACTTTTTTTTTTTTTTTAAGATTTTTATTTATTTATTTGACAGAGAGCGAGACACAGCGAGAGAGGGAACACAGGCAGGGGGAGTGGGAGAGAAGCAAAGCAGGCTTCCTGCTGAGCAGGGAGCCCGATGCGGGGCTCCATCCCAGGACCCTGGGATCATGACCTGAGCCGAAGGCAGACGCTAAACAACTGAGCCACCCAGGCGCCCCTAGACTTTTTTTCTTTTAAGATTTTATTTGTTTGCCAGAGAGAGAGCGAGAGCACGAAAGCAGGGGGAGAAGCAGGCTCCCCACTGAGCAAAGAGCTTGATGTGGAACTTGATCCCAGGACGCTGGGATCATGACCTGAGCCGAAGGCAGATGATTAACTGACTGAGCCACCCAGGCGTTCCTAGACTTTTTTTTTAATTGAAGGATAATTAACATAGTATTATAGTAGTTTCAGGTGTACAATATAATGATTCAACAATTCTATACATTACTCATTGCTCATCACTGCAAGTGTCCTTTTTTTTTTTAAAGATTTTATTTGAGAGAGAGAGAGCACAAGCAGGGGGAGGAGCAGAGGGAGAGAAGCACACTCCCCACTGAGCAGGGACCCTGACATGGGGCTAGATCCCAGGACCCTGGGATCAAGACCTGGGCCAAAGGCAGACACTTAATCCACTTAATCTCCTTTACCTATTTCACCCTCCCCTCTGGCAACCACCAGGTTTGTTCTCTATATCTAAGAGTCTGTTTTTTTGTTTGTCTCTTTTTTCTTTGTTCATTTGTTTTGCTTCTTAAATTCCACACATTGAGTGAAATCATGTGGTATTTGTCTTTCTCTGACTTATTTCACTTAGCATCATATCCTCTAGATCAATCCATGTTGTTGTAAATAGCAAGACTTCCTTCTTTTTTTGCCTGAGTAATATTCCTTTGTGTGTGTGTATATTGACATCTTCTTTATCCATTCATCTATGGATGGACATTTGGGTTGCTTCCATATCTTGGCTATTGTAAATAACGCTGCAATAAACATAGAGGTGCATGTATCTTTTCAAATTAGTGTTTTTGTTTTCTTTGGGTAAATACCCAGTAGTGGAATTACTGGATCATATAGTAATTCTATTTTTAATTTTTTGAGGAACCTCCATACTGTTTTCCACAGTAGCTGCACCAGCTTGCATTCCCACAAACAGTTCATGAGGGTTCTTTTTTCTCCACATCCTTGCCCACATGTTATTTCCTGTGTCTTTGATTTTAGCCACTCTGGCAGGAGTGAGGTGATATCTCATTTATAGCTGAAAAGCAAAGGTAGCATCTAGGCATGAAGCATCAACAGCTTCCTCCACTTTCAACATTACAAAAAAAGAGAGTCTGGCTCTCCCTATTGGCACTAATGGCAGCTAATCTTTTTTGTTTCCATCTATATTAAGACTATATATGTTTTTTTTAGTAGGCTCCATGCCCAGCACGGAGCCCAAGGCAGGCCTCGATCTCACAACCCTGAAATCGTGACTTGAGCCAAAATCAGGAATCAGATGCTTAAGCAACTGAGCTGCCACCCAGGTGCCCCTGGACTTGTTCTTTTTTTTTTTTTTTTAAGATCTTATTTATTTATTTGACAGAGACACAGCGAGAGAGGGAACACAAGCAGGGGGAGTGGGAGAGGGAGAAGCAGGCTCCCCAATGAGCAGGGAGCCCAATGTGGGACTCGATCCCAGGACCCCGGGATCATGACCTGAGCCGAAGGCAGATGCTTAACAACTGAGCCACCCAGGCGCCCCTGGACTTGTTAATTTCTGAAGCTGGGTGATGGATCCATGGATTAGGTTCGTTATATCATTCTATTTCCACAATAAAAAAAATTGTTCTTAAGATTTTATTTGAGAGAGAGAGAGCAGAGCAAGAGAGAGAACACAAGCAGGGAGAGGTGCAGAGGGAGAAGCAGACTCCCTGCTGAGTAGGGAGCCCTATTTGGGGCTTGATGCGGGGCTTGATCCCGGGAAGCTGGGATCATGACCTGAGCCAAAGGCAGATGCTTAACTGCCTGAGCCACCCAGGCACCCCCCCCCGAATAAAAAATTTTATATATTTATTTTTAAAGTAGGCTCCACACCTAATGTGGGGCTTGAACTCACGATTCTGAGATCAGGAGTCACATGCTCTACGGAATGAGGCAGCCAGGTGCCTCCACAATAAAAATTAAGAAAAAAATTCCGGGGCGCCTGGGTGGCTCAGACGGTTAAGCATCTGCCTTCGGCTCAGGTCATGATCCCAGGGTCCTGGGATCAAGTCCCACATTGGGCTCCTGGCTCAGTGAGGAACCTGCTTCTCCCTCTCCCTCTGCCTCTCTCCCTGCTCATGCTTTCTCTCTCTCTCTCTCTCTGTATCTCTGTTTCTCAAATGAATAAATAAAATCTTTAAAAAAAAAAAGAAAAAATAATTCTTTAGAGGGATGTCTGTTTTGTAGATAGATGTCCTAGTATGCCCAGAACATCGGAAGTGCCGAAATGCCGAAAGCCATGAGATAAAGGAAAATGCTTATATCTTTTGAATATTTTTTTAAAGATTTTATTTATTT